TGCAAATATTAATGCTTAATTTTTTAATTTCTTATTGTAGTGCAAAATATATTGTAGTGTAATGTAACTGTAATGTATTTGTAATATAAAATATATTATCCTTCTCCCTCAGGTGCTGTGTGGGGAGCCTTTGTAAAACTAGAAATTCCTTGTGTATTCCCTGATATTTGTAAAAAAAACCCTATATAAATAGCATGTACAGTTACACATCAAAAAGATTTCCATGTGTGTGCATTAAGTGCTGTCAAATTGTTTTGTACCTATGGGGACCCTATGGTTTAATGACCCAAACATCCTGTCATTAACAGCCTTGTTCAGGTCTTGCAAACTGAGGGCCGTGGCTTCCTTGATGGGGTCAATCCATCTCATGTTGGTTCTTCCATTTTTCCTGCTGTCTTCAACTTTTCCTAGCATTATTGTCTTTTCCAGTAAGTCTTGTATTCTCACAAAATGACCAAAGTGTGGTAACCTCAGTTTAGACATTTTAGTTTATGTTTTTAGGGTTCTGCTATTAAGACACTTAAGATAAAGGCTCATTTCATAAAATCAACACAAAGTTAGCAGTGCCTAAAATTAAAATTTGAAAATATGATTTCTTCAAAACTATTAAGCTAAACAAGCTACAGAAAAGTGCCTAAGCAAAACCAAAACTATGTAATAATCATATCAGCAAAATCTAGAATTAAGAGTGTGCCCACCATGTTGTATGAGCCATTTTCCATAATCTCAAAGATATAAACTGTTAGACTGGACCCAGTGGAAAATAAAGGAACAAAGAAGTTTGTCCAGAGTGTCCATGACTAAGTGTACATGACTGACAGGGGCAGAAGCTACTGAAATCTCTTTGTGGAACCTAAGACTAGGTTCAGTGGTCATCAAGAAGGTTTACAAATACAGCCAGTTTCTCAGTGGCAATGAAGCCAAGGAAAAGACTTATGTTTGTAGACTTGCCAACTCTTTTCTTTTAGGAAAACGGTTAACAAATGCATCAGTTGTATTTTGACCACTAAATTGAAATCTTTTCATTTGGTGGTCAGCAGATAACATATTTTTAATCTCCCAGAACACCCAGGTGGGTCCATAGTTGCTTGGGGTATCTACAGAGCAGTCTTTTATCTAATGGAATGCAGTCCCTGCAACTCCCTGATGCATAGCCTGCTGTATGCAAAAATACGTATCCATTCAGTTTACATCTGGCAAGATGCAAACAAACCAACACTAACACCTCTATGACATTACTATCAACAGAACAAAGTTTGAGTCCAATGGCATCCTTTAAGATTAACAAAAAACTGGACTCAAACTTTGTACTGCTTCAGATCAACACGACTACCTACCCCATTGCTACCAACAATTAAAAAGGAATGACAGTTTAGTCAACACTGGAAGAATATTTGCAGAATAATTAAAGACATGCAATAATGATCCTTTCAGATAAGAAAATCTCAGAGTCTACTGTTGTTTTTATTTTATTTATTTATACGAATTTAGCCTTGACAGAAACAGTCAAACCCTTAAAACATAAGATCATTTCCACCGGTAATTAGGAACAGCTATTGACAAAAAGTATTCTTCTCAACAAGTTAAACCACAATCTCTAAAAGACTGTAAAAGACGCCTTGACCTGGATAGCCCAGGCAAGCCCAATCTCATCAGATCTTGGAAGCTAAGCAGGGCCAACCCTGGCAAGAATTTGGATAGGAAATCTCCAAAGAATACCAGGGCCAGGAGGCAGAAGCTGGCTATCAAGCCACTTCTCTGAACGTTCTCCATGCCCCAGTAGGAATTGTCAGAAGTCACTATGACCTCCAGGCACAGGCACACACATACACAAAAATGCAACACAAAAAAAGACTGTAAAAGATAGCAGTAAGAACTACTATACTGTCTTCATACCAGATAAATGAAAAACATTATTGCTTCCTGACAACAAAAGCAGCACAGCAGCACTCTGAATAAAAGGCATAGGACATTATTTAAATTCCTTCGTGATACTTACCCAGATTTCAGATCTGTAATTCTTAAACAGTTTGTTGCATCCAATCCTACTTTTCCATTTCTGACCACATTGGAAATCAAAGGAGAAAGTGATGGAGAAATTCTGTTCAAGGCAACTTCAGGGGACATATTTACTCGTTGGCTGCACTCAGCTCTGCAAAATAAACAAAAGAGTAGAGTTTGATACATTCCTTTTTTTTTTTTTAAGTGACAACTCAGAGGCTAAGACAAAAAGACTCAGCTGAGACAGAGGGAAGACAATAAGAGACAGAGATAGCCAGAAAGAGAATGACTACAGAAACCAGAGGCCAAGGGAAAGGAACTGGCATAAAAAGTCAACAGGGACTACTGCAATCCACTCAATTAAAGCTCATAGTTATGGTCAAAGTTCCATATATATTCCTATATTACTTGTATGCCACAACACCTTTCCCTATGAGGAAAGGTTAAAGCGCTTAGGGCTCTTTAGCTTGGAGAATCGACAACTGAGGGGTGACATAATTGAGGTTTATAAGATTATGCATGGGATAGAGCAAGTAGAGAAAGAGGTACTTTTCTCCCTTTCTCACAATACAAGAACTCGTGGGCACTCAATGAAATTGCTGAGCGGTCGGGTTAGAACGGATAAAAGGAAGTACTACTTCACCCAAAGAGTGATTAACACATGGAATTCACTGCCACAGGAGGTGGTGGTGGCTACAAGCATAGACGGCTTCAAAAGGAAATTAGATAAGCATATGGAGCAGAGATCCATCAGTGGCTATTAGCCACAAGGTATAGATGGGGCTCTGGGGCAAGTGATGCTTTGTCTTCTTGGTGCTTGGGGGGGGGGTCAACAGTGGGGGGGCTTCTAATGTCCTGGCCCCACCGGTGGACCTCCTGATGGCACTGGTATTTCTGGCCACTGTGTGACACAGAGTGTTGGACTGGATGGGCCTTTGGCCTGATCCAACATTGGCGTCTCTTATGTTCTTATGTTCTTAACACCCAAGTAATGCTCTCATTTGTTTGTACTGATCATCTACGGAGTACAAAGAGTTTAAAAGCAAACATGCACAACCTGTAAACCCCCAGCTGAACACAGTCCACCAACCATACAGAAATCTCCTGGTTTTGGTGCCTGCCTCAGCCTTACTTCAGCTTGGTGCAGGCCTGTTTTAGACTGATATTTACTTCAGCACTAGAAGCTGGACAGTGCTCATTTTATTAAGCTCACAATGAATTTAGTGGCTTTTTAAAAAATTGTGAATGTTTTGAAGTAATGTTTGCTTTTGGCGGGATGGAGGGAAGTGTGTTTTCCATTTTAAACAACATCCTTAATGCAAAGAAAACAAACCTATCTGGTTACATCAGAATGAAAATTAAACATGTCTTTTTGTGATTAAATATTATATTAAATTGTTAATTTAAGATGTTTTTATTCTGAAGAACAGCTACTAAATCTGTACTCACATTAAACAATGGACATCAAATTATTACAGACATATACTATCACAGAAGACTTATAATAGAAGTAACACTGAACAACTTGTCTTATAAACTGTCAATATTTGCTGATCAGTCACTTTCTGGCTCTTTTGCTTTTGTTGATAAGCTAAGAAAACTTCTGTGTCCTCTTCAGAGGATGTGGTCACCAATCAATGAAGTTACATAGGGATAACAAGATTATTTTTCTGTTTCAACCTAGAGAAGTCATAACAGAACACAGAATTCATGATGGTACAAAGCAGAAAGGAGTCAAGTATCAGAAACCTACAGACAGAGATATTTTGCAGATCCACACCATAACCCAGGTCAAATTGGAGTTATCTACAACACATAGCAAGTTATAACACAATCTTTATGAACTCACTACCACTGAAGAATAGTTCCACAAACATCAGGGAACCTGTACAATGTTATCAATATTGCATAGTCAAAGGTCACCAATACCAGACAAACACTGTACAACACCTCTGCAAATCTCCAACGATAGCACACGTACACATTCCCTGACACTTATTAACAGTGAAACTTGTAGAGGCCTACAAGACCGATATAATGCAAGTGTGCCTTAAGTTACAAGGCAGCTGACAAAGAGTTAGAGAGTAAGATCACAAGTTGAGCAAAGAATTCAAATCAGGAGATCTTGATCTACAAGACTGCTGGCAGCCCTGCCCGACACCTGACCCTTCAAAAGACACTACCAGCAGTCACAACGTGCACATGATACTAACTTATGTCTGCCACCTTTTCTGTTTGTTTTGCAAGGAAAGCTCCTGCACTTCTGAAAGCTATGTGATAGGCAAAAATTCAACAAGCACTGTTTACCCCATTATACGGATTGTAATAAAATTTTAACTTTTAGGATTCATATAGCACTCACTACAGATGCTAATCTTCTGCCCCCTAGCATTTCTCATCTGCTCTAATCAAGATGGTTACAATATCCATTATACCTCTGCATGCTATACAAGCATTCTTTACAACATCACTCCCACCTTCTGAGTGGGATATAAAGACTCAGATCTCCATTCCTACACATGTCTGATGAAGGGAGTTTTGATGCTCAAAAGCTGATACTCTGAAAATCTTATTGGTCTCTAAGATGCTACTGGACTTGAATCTAACTGCAGATTGCAGTTTTATTGCTGAAAACAATTCATACCGATTATCTCAGAGCAACCCACTAAAGTAGTCCAGTTCTATAATAATGGGAGGAGGGGGAGAAAGCAATATCACTTGCCTAAAATCACCTAACAAGTTTGTGACTCAGATGAGATTAGAATTCATCTCGTGAACACAGCCACAACATTTCACCTGTTAAACTTCAGCCTGCAGCACATTCATTAGAGGCACAGGCACCTTCATTAACTAACAATGGTAATATTTTTAGCACCTACAATTACTGCAGAAACATTCCCAGAAATAGTAAGGTGACCATCCTAACAGGAGTAGCTTAAATCGTGAGGGAAGGAGAGGGAGAGAAAAATCTAGCACACAGGAAATCTCCCTGCGTGGTGTGCAGTTTTGAGGGGTTCGGCCCCTAATAGCCAAGCCAACTCCCATGCTTGACTTTCCCAGTCAGAAGCACCACAGGGAAAACCCATTCTCTTCTATGACGTACACAGCCCAATATACCCACCCGTCTAAAGGGGGACTCATTCCCCGACCTTCCCCAAGTACTGCTACTTTGGATACCTACGGGGACCGCAAAACATAAACCAACCTTCACAAAACCGGCCCCGACCACTACCTTAACCACGCAGCCTCAGCGCCTGCGTAGACCCGCCTTCCCGTACGCTACGTGCGTGCGCGCGCGCGCCTCTCTCAAACAAACCAAGCGCGCTCACGAGATCGGCAGCCTAGAAAAATCAAAACTGGGTCTTTCGTTGAACATAGGTGGCTTAAGCGCGCCTGAATGAATAGTCCAGGTTTCTACTGTTCAAGGGTGACGGACAAGATTGTAATAGAGATATTAACTTGTCTGCTTATGATTTGGGGTGGAAAAAGTGCTCTGTAATAAACGGACATTTTTCAGGGTACGAACAAATCAGGTGGGTGGCAGATCTCCCCCTGGTGAAGCAGGCTGTGGAGAAGCAGAAAACGCGACCTGCAGAAAGATAAAGCCTGAGGACGTGTACACTTGAAGCAGGTTAAAGTACAGTTGTGGGGAAAGAGACCTCTTGCTGCTGTGTCTGATAATGGCAGCTCCTGAGGTCGTGTTGGTGGGATCTTGTATGACTGATCTGGTGAGGTTAGTATTGTCAGTAATATCCTGCACGTTCTGTAGCCGTTCTTTTATCTGGAGCTGGATTAGTCTTTGATTCTTTCTTTACACTCAACAGTAAAGGTTAAAAAAGGGCCAGTATGTTTAGTTTTCTAATTATGTAGCCCAATCTTATACATGTTTACTCCTAAGTAAGATCCGGTAGGGTCAGTGAAACACTTCCTCAAGTAAACTTGTATGGTCTGCACATTTATTATTTGGAGTGATGTCCCCTTGATTGACTTCTGAGAAGGCATGCAGAGGATCAGTGTTTCCTCTAAGCTGAGTTAGTGTGAGCTAACTCACAGTTTTTTAGCCTCTGGCTCACACATTTTTGTCTTAGCTCAGGAAGGATGGCTCCAGGGCAAACTAATTTATGCAGCAGCCAAATCGCTCGCTCACAACTTTTTTTTGCTCACAAGACTCCATATCTTAGAGGGAGCATTGGATCAGACTGAATATGGGATTATGCTATTAGTAAATCCTAAATTATATTATTGTACAGTCATCTGCACAGAAGCATTGCACTGAAGATGACGGAAACATCCCTTCTTATCATCTTCTGGTTATGAATATAAAAAGTGATTAAAGCATATAAATGAGTGCTGTCATCTCATCAGCTTCCTAAACCAACATTTATTTGTGAGAGCTTGGATATTTTGAGGTTTACTGAGATTTTATGGGGTTCAGAAAAAGTTTGCAGAAGTGGTCCAAAAGTACAAAATCAGTTTGTGGACTTTGCTTGCCCAGTTCTCTAGTGATAATATTGTTAGCAACTTTCTGTGGGATATATGAACAGAAAAGGGAACAGTACAAATAAAGTGGCTATCAGATTTAAATTAGATTTAGATTATCTGCTAATGTAGCTTGCATCAACCCATATTAGATTCTTTCAGGCTCCAAGTACCCATAACTTATCTTCTCATTAAAAGACTCCTGAATAGTTTCCAGGGAGGGCTCTTAGAAACACAGACTGAAAAACTATTAAGTAAAGCAGTGTTTGGTCAGGTTGTATAAGGACAATAACTTGCATACTGTATATTTTACAATTTGAGATTCTATTTATATTTATTTAATTAGATATTTATACCTCACTTTTCTCCCTGTTGAGGATTTGGCTTACAGCATCATTCCTTCCTTCATTTTATCATCATAACCCTGTGAAATAGGTTGGACTGAAAGTCAAAATACACATTATAGCAGCCACAGGTCTAACCTGTGGCCTCCAATTACATTTTAGAGGAAAATCTAGCCATTAAAAAAAAAATTGTCATTAGGGCCCAGTCTTGATGCAGCGGCACCAGGTGATCTTGTTCCACTTGTTCCACCCTCTGCATGCCTTTTTGAGTGCCAAAACAGCCTCTCCATGGCTCTTTTGTCACTTGAAAAGGTGGGGTGGGTGGGGACAAGATCACCTGGTACCACCACGGCATGGGCCCCGATCAGGACTGGCCCTGACATCATTTTTTTAAATGGCTAGATTTTCCTTTAAAATGGGGTTGGTGGCCAAGGGTTGGACCCGTGGCTGCCATAACATGTAGTTTGGCTCTGAGAAAGTGTGGAACTGGCCCAAGCTTACCCAGTGAGCTTCCATGGCAGAGTGTGGCTTCCAACCTGGGTCTCCCAGATCCAAGTCTTACTCCGTGGCTTGCAGTTATGTTCAGTCAAAAGAACCTCATAGCTGCCACATGTCAAGGAAAATGAGGAGGTGCCACACTGGGGAATGGTGCTCAGAAGAGCCGCAAGTGGCTGTGAAGCCACTGAATGAGTATCACTGCTCTAACTGTTTTGTGTGTTTTTCCTAAATCTGGTAGGATAGGATGAGTTTCAAATAAGAAGGATGTCCTCTCAAAAAAAATAGAGTCTCAGCCCATGCTGGCTTAAATGCGACATGAAGAGTTGGCACGTTTTCTGTCTCTTTCATACCACAGACAGAATGCTTAAGATCTAGATCTGAAAGGTTTTGAAATATGCTTAAGCACATCAGAAATGCTTTTATCTTGAGTCAAATTTTATTAACCTTGATGAAGTAAAGCAGTTGCTGGCTTCTTAGCGAGGTATCAACATTCATAGTACAGCAGGTTTGTTGCTGTACTTGTTGATGATGCCTCTGACACATTTTTAGTTGAGCAACAGCTGATGTGTGTTGTATGTGCATCAGAGAGGAAACCTTGAATTGCTTTGAAGTATCACATGGCAGTTAAAACTGAATCTAGAAAAAGGGAGGGATGACAGAAGAGATGAATCTCAGCTGTTTGTAGGAGTCTAAGGCTCAAGAGAGAATTCAGATTCCACATGTTTGTGTTAGTTCAGAGGGTGGAATCATGAGTGATACCTAGAGCAAGCTTGTGCAAAGTACTTCCCATGTGGTATCAGCCTTGTGATTAGGTACATGCCTGGTCATCTCTAGTGTGTGAAAATGCATCTAAGTGGCCAGGTTCATTGCCGCAGTGAATGAGCATATGTTAAATAACCAGAATAGATTTCAGGTGCATTAACCATAAAACTCCACTGTGCTTCCCCATTTAAAATGTTGGGCTTGTCATTGTCGATCTAGTGGAAACCCACCCCCACCCCCAATTCTGCATATGTAGATTCTTTCCCCAGAAACATTAAAGGTATCTAGGAGGCCTTCATGTGGCCTGGCTTTTTGATTTTTGCATAGCCTTATAAAAAGTAAATTTCAGTGATCTAAGTGTATTTATAGACACCACATTATTGTAGATGTTGGGCATGGCCAGTCAATGCTGAAGGTGGGAGAGGCTAATGATTAAATCTATTAAGATCAGTTTAGCTTGTAGGGGCAGGTAAAGTTTCTGTTGTCAAATGGAAGTTCAAAGTCTTCAAGCTGCTGCTGTCATTAGGTGAAACAGCACACATTTGTTTGTGTTAATTTAGATCTTTGTACCTTGCTTTTCTCCCCATTTGGCACCTGAAGCAGCATACAGCATCATTCTCCCCACCTCCATTTTACCCTGTGAGATAGATGAGGCTCAGAGAAAGTAATGGGCCAAGGTCACCCAGTGAAATTCTGTGGCACAGCAGAGATTTGAACCTGGATCTCCCAGATCCTAGTTTGATGCTTGAACAGTTAGATTGCTCACCAATCCCTTGCCTGTGCACTCACCGGAGTTTTGAGAAGTGGGTGGGACCAGATGTTGCTTTGGCTATAGTTGCAGCCTCAGGACCCAGGATCCTTACTACGTGACTGATGGTAAGCTGCTTATATGCAAGAAAATAGCTATATGTTCACATTAAAAGGCATCCTGTTAAACAGAGCTTCTACCTGAAATGTTGAAAAGTTACTACTAGAATTATATATAATCTCACTCCTCCTGCAGCAGCCATTTTGTGGTTGCACCCACCACCCTATGTAGGAATCCCAAAGATGCCTGCAGACTCACAAAATGTAGGGACCCTTGCTGTAACCACTGCACCATGTCAGCGCACTCACACATCTCTTTGTCATTTTATCCCTTTTCAGATTCTTGGTGTTACGACTGTGCATACAGAATGAACTCACTACAGGTGATCCACCCAATATGTGTGATAACTACTTCTTCTGAAAGGGGCAACACAGATTTTCTGCCTTTGCACACTCATAGCAGACCTGGAGTCTAATATCTGTGTTCTGAAGCTGGAATATACATCCATTACCCCTTTTAGAAGAAACAACCGTCACACAGTTATTCATTTGTCCTGTACATGCAGTCAAATGTAATGAGTGAACAGGGCTTTTTTATTCTGGTGAAATGTAATGTTATCAGCATCAGCATGTATGTGCAGCATGCCATTGATTGGCATGCTGCAGAGGTCCATCAGTGGCTATTAGCCACAAGGTATAGATAGGGACTCTGGGGCAAGTGATGCTCTGTCTTCTTGGTGCTTGGGGGGGGGGGGGTCAACAGTGGGAGGGCTTCTAATGTCCTGGCCCCACTGGTGGACCTCCTGATGGCACCTGGTATTTTTGGCCACTGTGTGACAGAGTGTTGGACTGGATGGGCCTTTGGCCTGATCCAACATTGGCGTCTCTTATGTTCTTATTGTGGAACTTGTTCCCAGTCAGTGATGTCTCAAGAGCTCACTACATAGCAGACTATGCAACTGAGTATTGCACTGTGGCAGGCTAGTGAGAATGAGATGCACACTAGGAAGAACTGGATAAAAATGGTGTGTGTGTGTGTGTGTGTGTGCTGTAATACTCTAAATTAAATCCTGACAATAATATGTCGCTCTAATTGACTTGAGAACAAAACAAGCCACGACCCTGAGACTGAGCACATACAGTTCTTGTTGTGAACAAGCAGTATATGAAATCAAAACTTCTCAGGAGCATTCTTTTTCCTCTCCCTTACTATTTTTACCTCTCAGTGATAGGAACAATGTCTAATTTTTTGCTCTCTCCTCTTTGCTAATAATCACTGTAGCAAACTACTCAGCTGAGAGAAAACAATGAAAAACACATGCTTTAAATATGACAACAGGAAAAAAGCAGCAGTGAGCACATCTAACCACAGAAGCCTCCCACCCAAGTCAGAATGGACAGTAATGATAAATCTAACTCCAAACATATTGCATCTTTGATGGCAACATGAGTCTTTTATCCTTCTTTCATTGTGGCAACCTTGGTCAGTGTGGTTTTTACTAATAAGCCATCAAGAACTCTGAATGTATCTTAGAGAAAATGTACTTTAAGAAATATATATCTCCTCCCAGCTCAGGCTTTCAAGGCAATGTACAAAAACACAATGAAAAAAGCACTAATTAGTAAGGTGATAATTATTAGGTATTTTCATACAAAAACACACAAAATGACATTTGTAGCATCAAAATTTACAAAACCTCGGGCAGCTAATCAATCAGAGCAAGACAAAAACAACGTCTAGCTTAACAAAGCAAGAGCGATGCTAAATGCCAAAGCCAGCATTAATAAAAACATTTGCCTTGCCGTGCAATACATATCCTTCCAAGTGCATTGAAGTCAATTG